AGAGAGAGAGAGAGAGAGAGAGATAGAGAGAGAGAGAGAGAGAAAGAAAGAGAAGAAGAGTGGAAAAGAAAGAACATAATTTAACATGAAATACGTTGAAACGTAGTAGTCCGTATATCCAATGAAATCGCACATAACTCGAATCAATATTAATTTTAATTGCATACGGTTTTTTTGCAAGGAATGTTATTGGGGAACAACGAGAAAATCGGAATGGAAAAAAAGTTGCGTACTCGTATTGTTATTCTTGAGGTTACTTACCTCTTCAAATGTTGCTTTAATTATTTTCTTTTCCCCATTTTTTTTACATCAAACAATTCATTACGACATTCTGTCTTATTTTGCAATGTAATCAAATCAACGTGTAGTCATCACAATAATATGATGGGGTCACTTGCTCGTTTGTGATCTTTTTTCTCTTTCGCTTCATGGATTATACAAAATCAAGCATTCAGAAGAGAAGAAGTATACATAAACATACAGAGAGCATAAATTCGAATGCAAGCCTGTAAGTGTCTAATGTTTATAATATCGGACACACTTTACACAATTGTTTTTGAATCACATAATTTTCGCGCAAAAACTGCACGGTAAATACAATGAACAATGCATTTTTGACCGATTTCAATTCTTCTTTTCTTCTGTTATTGTATTTGTGTTTCTTTTGCTCGTATCGTCGTTGATGACCGCTTACAATCACATACACCGATCTGTTGTGCACACAACGATCAACTGTTCGTGCACTTTCAGATGACAACGCCATCTATTGTAATTGCTACATAACAATTTAACGTCGAGCTTAATTTGAGAGTGTCCAAATACATAACGAAAAGATTCCATCTTCTTTGAAAAATATATTTTAAAATGAGGTCCATACCGTTACGTGGTGGCGGTCGCGAGTGTACGTTTGTCTTTCACCGTCTAACATCAATACTATTTTTCCACGCAAAACACGAGAAAAATTTTCATCACCCATTTTGAATATTGTTTTTTGGTTTTTAAATACTTGAACTTAAATTCCAAATAGATTTTCTGCCATTGCAATTCCGGCCGCTTTCGACGACTCGTGTGTTCGTTTTGGTGGTGTTTCAGGTTGCGACAAAAAACGAATGAATGATCTTTTTGTTTTCGGATTTTTAATGGGTTCACCTTTTTGTTCACAGCACGGGCAGCTAAAATATCCACTACTTTTGCAGCTTTGAAACTCAGCGCGTGCTGGTATATCACAAGAACAATATAAAACAGTTGGAAGAAAAGTTATTAGATCGTTATTGTGCCATATCGAAACTCCCTTCTTTTGAAGTTGATTGAGATCTTGTGCGAATGGTAACATTATTGTAGAAATATCTGGCTTTTTTTGTCCACAATAAAGACCAACCAGTAGAATGTTTTTAGAGTGGAATCGTTCATTGGGTGGCAAATAATTTTGTAGCAACTGAATTGGCCATTAAGTCGTAGCAGACGACCGGAAAATCTTTGCACCATCTACGTTCAAAGTAAATGGCAAAATAATATCAGAGGTCTTCTTCTGTGCATTTTTAAAAATGTTCCCATCCAAAAAGTCACAAATTTCACTTTCATTTCGTTGATTTTTCAGAA